TATGAAATCAAGCATTTTCATACCATGAAGATATAATTACTATATTCAATATGGCAGAAATAAACCTAATTTAAAAGTAAGAGTATTCATATTATTGTACTATATTAGTAAATAACTGCAACATTCAACAAATGGATTCCTAGCTTTACAAGTTGATTGACATTGTTAAAGAAAACCATTAAATAAATTCATGTGTATTTAAAAATTTGCCCAATAAAAAGAGTTGTGTCTTTAAGTCCCACCTGATCTCCATTTTCACTTAAAAAAAAAATTCTAATACTATACAGCCTGCAAAGTTTCTATAGCTATAGTATGTTAATTAGCACTGGATATTACTTGATGTAATCAATACTCATAGGTTATTGAGTTAATCGACTAGTTCTGATGTCAGTGCATACTTAAGTCGTTCATCTATAACCTAAATTTACATAATGAACAACATCAAAGGAAAATTCTTGAACAATTCAGGACATTGTTAAACTCCAGTTCCCCACAAGATCTAAATTAAAAAAATACTCATTATGAAATATGATTTTTGATGTACGTGCACATCTTGAATATCTCTATGGTATTAAACAATACTTCTAGTTTTCTGACATATAAACTTTAGACTGATACAAATTAATTTTCTACAACTAAACAGATTAGAAAGTGAATCTTTTAACAAGAGAAACTACACAAGCAAGAGTGGTAAGTAAATCCAGAACAGTTGAGAAATTGTAGCGATCATATTAAAATATAAAAATATAACAAAAAAAATAGTGAAACAATTTTCTAAAGTGACGATAGCAAACAAAACATTTAATGATTCATTTGTACAAAACTTTCTTAAACTAAAATCAAACAGTTAAATGTTATCAATTTTAACTCTTCAGTGTTATACTGATAAAACAGACTATTTCTAATATACATGATAAACATTTCTGATGAATGCAAGTCATGCTGATATTTAATATTTAACCATAATGTTCAACTGTAACATCCCTAAAAATATGTGTGGGGCATCTTAAAGTTTACACCATATCACAACTTTTAATGAGTCAATAACTGGTCAACATTTGGATGCTACAAGAAAAAAACATCAACAACATTGGTCAGTAATATCCATCCTCATGCAATGATTATTAAAGCATTACAGGATCTATCTAGTTAAGTACTGTAAACTAAACAAACGATTATTAAATAATTGCAGGGTCAACACAGTTAAGTACTGTAAATTAAAGAAATGATTATTAAAGTATTACCGGATCTAAACAGTTAAGTACTGTAAACTAAACAAATGATTATTAAAATATTATAGGGTCTCCCAGTTAAGTATTGTATAGTAAAGAAATGAATGTTAAAGTATTACAGGATCTATACAGTTAAGTACTGAAAACTAAACAAATGTTTGGTACCTGATGATGACAAAACCTTGTCGAAATGTTGTACACTTGCTGTTATGTTAAACTTATATTAAAGTCTTCCTTCATTACCCATTCAAGCCATCTCCAGCCATTATTAAACAAATGATTATTAAAATATTACAGGATCTACCCAGTTAAGTATTGTATACTAAAGAAATGATTATTAAACTATTAAAGGGTCTAACTAAAGAAATGAATGTTAAAGTATTACAGGATCTACCCAGTTAAGTATAGTACACTAAACAAATGATTATTAAAATATCATAGGGTCTACCCAGTTAAGTATTGTATACTAAAGAAATGAATGTTAAAGTATAACAGGATCTATACAGTTAAGTACTGTAAAGTAAGCAAATGAATGTTAAAGTATTACAGGATCTACCCAGTTAAGTACTGTAAATTAAACAAATGATTATTAAAGTATAACAGAATCTACCCAGTTTAGTACTGTAAACTAAACAAATGAATGTTAAAGTATTACAGGATCTAAACAGTTTAGTACTGTAAAGTAAGCAAATGAATATTAAAGTATTAGAGGACCTAAACAGTTAAGTACTGTACACTAAAGAAATGAATGTTAAAATATTACAGGGTCTACCCAGTTAAATACTGAAAACTAAACAAATGATTATTATATATTACAGGGTCTACCCAGTTAAGTACTGTAAACTAAACAAATGATTATTGAACTATTACAGGATCTATCCAGTTAAGTACTGTAAACTAAAGAAATGAATATTAAAGTATTACAGTGTCTACTCAGTTTAATACCGTAAACTCAAGAAATGATTATTAAAGTATTGCAGGATCTAGCCAGTTTAGTACTGTAAACTAAAGAAATGAATGTTACAGTTAAGTACTGCACACTAAACAAATGATTATTATATATTACAGGGTCTACCAAGTTAAGTACTGAAAACTAAAGAAATGATTATTAAACTATTACAGGGTCTACCCGGTTAAGTACTGAAAACTAAAGAAATGATTATTAAAATATTATAGGATCTACCCAGTTAAGTACTGTAAAGTATTAATTAACAGTACTTAACTGTTTGGATCCTGTAATACTTTAATATTCATTTCTTTAGTTTACAGTACTAAACTGGGTAGACCCTGTAATACTTTAATATTCATTTGTTTAGTTTACAGTACTTAACTGGGTAGATCCTGTAATATTTTAACATTCTTTTGTTTAGTTAACAGTACTTAACTGTTTAGATCCTGTAATACTTTAATAATAATTTGTTTTGTGCACTATACTTAATTGTTTAGATCCTGTAATACTTTGACATTTATTTGTTTAGTTTACAGTACTTAACTGGGTAGATTCTGTAATACATTAACATTCATTTCTTTAGTTTACAGTACTTAACTGGGTAGATCCCCTAAACAATGAATATTAAAGTATTACAGAATCAAACCAGTTAAGTACTGTAAAGTATTACAGGGTCTACCCAGTTAAGTACTGTAAACTAAACAAATAAATGTCAAAGTATTACAGGATCTGAACAATTAAGTATAGTGCAGAAAACAAATTATTATTAAAGTATTATAGGATCCAGCCAATTAAGTATAGTACACAAAAATTATTATTAAAGTATTACAGGATCTACCCAGTTAAGTACTGAAAACTAAACAAATGATTATTAAAATATTATAGGGTCAACCCAGTTTAGTACTGTAAACTAAAGAAATGATTATTAAAATATTATAGGGTCAACCCAGTTTAGTACTGTAAACTAAAGAAATGATTATTAAACTATTGCAGGATCTACCCAGTTAAGTATTTGTACACTAAACAAATGATTATTAAAATATTATAGGGTCAACCCAGTTTAGTACTGTACACTAAAGAAATGAATATTAAAATATTATAGGGTCTACCCAGTTAAGTACTGTACACTAAACAAATGATTATTAAAGTATCATACGATCTACCCAGTTAAGTATTGTACACTAAACAAATGATTATTAAAGTATCATACGATCTACCCAGTTA